GAGGGAACACAAGCAGGGGGAGTGGGAGAGGGAGAAGCAGGCTTCCCGCCGAGCAGGGAGCCCGATGCGGGGCTCGATCCCAGGACCCTGGGAACATGACCTGAGCCGAAGGCAGACGCTTAACGACTGAGCCACCCAGGCGCCCCTTATGCAAATTATATCTTAATTAAAAAAAAAAAAAAGAAAGAAAAAAGTGGCAATAGCAAACCTCCGCTTCTTGGAGTATATTTTTACTTTCAGAAACAAAGAGACTAACAATTCTAAAAGTAATTTAATCATAAATCTCTAGCTGGAACAATAAACACTTGAGAGAGAAAACTTACCTCGTGTTTTCCCATGCACCATTTCTGAGTTAGGAAAGTACAGGGGGGACACTTCTCTTCACTATGACAAGAATGATACACTGTTAAAAGAGAAAGGAAATTAGGAATTATGTTTAGGAATAATGTTTAAATAAAGCCACATAAACTGGGGCACCAGTCGGTTAAGCATCTGACTTCGGCTCAGGTCATGATCTCAGAGTCGTGAGATCAAGCCCCACGTCAGGCTCCCTGCTCAGTGAGGAGTCTGCTCCTCCCCGCTGCTCGTGCTCTCTCTCTCAAATAAATAAATAAATCTTTAAAAAAATAATAAAGCCACATAAACTATTACACATGTTATAATGGTATATAACATGGAACTTTTAAGTTTAGAAGCTGGGAGTTCTTTTTATTTTTTTAAAGATTTTATTTATTTATTTGAGGGACAGAGACAGCACAAGAGCAGAGGGGGAGGGGCGGAAGAAGAAGCAGGCTCACTGCTAGCAGGGAGCCTCACGTGGGGCTCGATCCCAGGACCCTGGGATCATGACCTGAGACGAAGGCAAACGCTTAAATCGACTGAACCACCCAGGCGACCCTGGGAGTACTTTTTAAAATGGAAAATAGGAAAGCAAAAAGTAGGTGGCTTTCTATTAAAGTGTTGAAGGATGAGCATGAGTGAGAAAAAGAAACCCCACTGAGGCAGGACAGACACATGCACAGAGAAGCAGAGAGGGAGGCAGTTTTTCCACTCATTTTCTACGGCACAGCCCCTGGTCTGTCCATTCTACTCAATCATTCTTTTGGCCCTACCTTACATGGCAACTGCTCACTTTTGCTTAGCTATCTTTGCTACTCATTCCATCTGACATGCTCCCGTGATACCTTTGAATTTCCTTGCTGTCTGTAAGAGACAGTTCATCCAAACTCATCTACAACAAAGCCTTCCTTGGCTGACCATACCCGACCTTGAGCTCTCTTACACTCCCTCATGTCTGAGGTCTTTTGCAGATGGTTTGCTACCATGTTATCTGGCCTATTTTCATGTAATGGCTGTGTCATGTGCACATAACTACCCTCTTCCTCTTGGGAAGAACATAAGAATCTCTAGATCATGGGCTACTTTTTTCTTCCTCTGAACCTGTGTGTCTGATACCATGCTGGATATACAACTAACACTCAAAGAAGTTAAATGAATGCTTAACAAAAGCAGGCTAAAACACCTCATAAATGGTTAAGTTCTCACTATGGACATTAACCACAAGGATGTGGACTTCATCTGTATCATCTGCAAGTGAGTGTAAAGCAGGAAGTGGATGAGTATTGGCTTGGGCACTTACTTCATGCTGGTGTGAACACTGAAGTAGGGGCTTGCAGACTAAGTGGCAAGGGCCATCCTAAGGTCCCCAGAAAAGGAGAGACCTTTTATTTCATTAGGAATTTACTTAATTCTGTTTTACTCTATTAACTTAAAAATTTGAGAACTGGTTGTCTATTTGTCAGTCTGATTCATATGGCCAGATTAAGTGTAAGTGCCAAATCTGGTGACTTGAGTTATTTCAGGTTTGCCTCTGGGACTTGGTAAAATGAAATGATGAGCCCAATATGGTCCCAGAGGAAAGCCAGTAACAGAAAATAGGTGATGTTAAGTAGCTACTGGTCTGGTGTCTACAGCAGTTTATGAGAGAAGAATTGGAAACAACTTAATTGTCCAGCAACATGAGACTAAGTTATGGCCCATTCATGTAAAGCACACTCCATTAATTATTAAAAATCTATACTGGAGGGCGCCTGGGTGGCTCAGTTGGTTAAGTGACTGCCTTCGGCTCAGGTCATGATCCTGGAGTCCCGGGATCGAGTCCCGC